TGACGTTCCAGATGATAATTACTTTACCGTTTCACTACTGATACTGATAATTACTGATTCTCTGATGTTCCACACAATAATTACTTTACCGTTTCACTACTGATACTGATAATTACTGATTCACTGATGTTCCAGATGATAATTACTTTACCGTTTCACTACTGATACTGATAATTACTGATTCACTGATGTTCCAGATGATAATTACTTTACCGTTTCACTACTGATACTGATAATTACTAATTCACTGACGTTCCAGATGATAATTACTTTACCGTTTCACTACTGATACTAATAATTACTGATTCACTGATGTTCCACCTGATAAGTACTCATACTTTTTTCGCTACATCATCAAATGATAATCAACCTACAGTATCTCTACTTTTATAAATAGAATCCAGGTACAGTTTCACTACTTTTGTAAAACCATACTTTTCTCAACATTTTTGCAAATGACAATTAGTCTACCGTTTCATAAGTAAAAATCAGTTTAATTTTTCCATCATGTAACATCTCCATGTCAGACTTTGGATTATTGTATCTATTCTACAGCCGTTGGACTACATATAGCAGAAAACATATGGAGGTATCTCTGGACTATGCTTTACTCCACCAATTATTGGAAGATATAAACTCCACCTGGGGAGGATCAGGAAACCCTTTGTCTCGAGACGAGGTTAGTGATACTTTTTTATCCTAAACTTTTACATTAAAACAATTCAGTAAAATTTCTTCTCATCAATATTTAAAAAGGATAATGAAAAGTTTCACTTTAACTACAAGATTAAATACCAACTAATGATAACTTTTACTTTAACTACAAGATTAAGTACCCGCTAATGAAAAGTTTCACTTTAACTACAATATTAAGTACCCACTAATGAAAAGTTTCACTTTAACTACAATATTAAGTACCCACTAATGAAAAGTTTCACTTTAACTACAATATTAAGTATCCGCTAATGATAACTTTTACTTTAACTACAATATTAAGTACCCGCTAATGAAATGGTTCACTTTAACTACAATATTAAGTATCCGCTAATGAAAAGGTTCACTTTAACTACAATATTAAGTATCCGCTAATGATAACTTTCACTTTAACTACAATATTAAGTATCCGCTAATGATAACTTTTACTTTAACTACAATATTAAGTACCCGCTAATGAAATGGTTCACTTTAACTACAATATTAAGTACCCGCTAATGAAAGGTTCACTTTAACTACAATATTAAGTATCCGCTAATGAAAAGTTTCACTTTAACTACAAGATTAAGTACCCGCTAATGAAATGGTTCACTTTAACTACAATATTAAGTACCCGCTAATGAAAAGTTTCACTTTAACTATAAGATTATATACCCGCTAATGAAAAGGTTCACGCTTATTAACTGTGTTTATTCTGTTAACAATTCCTTTGTAAAGGTTGAGTTGAGGTTGTTTTGTAAAATTTATACAACTTTTCCTGCCTTCCGTATGTTGATGAAAGTAAAACGATAATAAAAATTGGGTCTAGTTTGTTTTTTGTGTGTGGCTTCATTTGTGGTTACTACTAAAAGTATCGCTCCAATTACTATGACTGCTACGAGAGTCTGTAACATCTAGTTGTTGCTTCCAGAAGCTCATTACACCTAGACAGAACAAAGTATATCTACTGTTAGTAGTCTATTAATAACGTCACGCACTGAAGATCTCCTCCTGAAGTTTAATCATTGAAAAGACATTATTATGGAATATCACTGTACGTTTTATGGCGATTTTTTTTTAGCTGTCTATAGGGGCGCGCGGTGAAATTATTAAGTTTGTTTAAGTAAAGACTAAGAACGTCAGCACACAAACACGCCATCCAAGAAACAATACCTCTATAGAACAATAGTCTTGCAGCAACTCTTTTTGTCTTAAGATAGTTCTACTCAGAGTTATTGTTTAGACTCAAACAACAAAGACAAAGCAGGTTTATGTCTACCTGTCGTTTGTTTAAAACTGTAGTTCAGTTTCCACCTGTGACATTTGGAAATGTTCATTGTTCTTCGTGTCTAAAATGTTATTCGTACTCCAAACTTTAATGAAACAGTATAGTGAAGCTTAGCAAGGAGAATCACTTAAATAGAACTGTATGCTTCCTTTTTTTGTTCAAACGTTTGAAATATTAAACCAGACATTCCTAAACGATAGTGCGAGGTTGTATCTGCAAAAAAAACAGTTAACTTCTTGTCACTAGACTTCCACTGACAACAACTGATGTTCAAGATTTAATAACATGTGAAAAGTATTTATACTAAACTCTTTTCACACTTTAGTTAATGTTTATTTAGTCATAGTACACTATTTTCACACTTTATCTAGCATTTACTCAGTTGTAGTACACTCTTTACATAGTTTAGTGTTTACTGTAGGAAGCTCTTCAACAAAGTTCTTCAATGATATGTTTTGTTTGATATTTACTGTTGGAAGCTCTTTAACAAAGTTCTCCAATGATATGTCTTGTTTGATATTTACTGTAGGAAGCTGTTTAACAAAGTTCTTCAATGATATGTCTTGTTTGGTATTTACTGTAGGAAGCTGTTTAACAAAGTTCTTCAATGATATGTCTTGTTTGGTATTTACTGTAGGAAGCTGTTTAACAAAGTTCTTCAATGCTTTGTTTTGTTTGGTATTTACTGTAGGAAGCTCTTTAACAAAGTTCTTCAATGCTTTGTTTTGTTTGATATTTACTGTAGAAAGCTGTTTAACAAAGTTCTTCAATGATATGTTTTGTTTGGTATTTAGTGTAGGAAGCTGTTTAACAAAGTTCTTCAATGTTTGTTTTATTTGGAATTTACCGTAGGAAGCTATTTAACAAAGTTCTTCAATGCTTAGTTTTGTTTGGCATTTACTGTAGGAAGCTGTTTAACAGAGTTCTTCAATGCTTTGTTTTGTTTGATATTTACTGTAGGAAGCTGTTTAACAAAGTTTTTAATACTTTGTTTTGTTTGGTATTTACTGTAAAAAACTGTTTAACAAAGTTCTTCAATGTTTGTTTTGTTTGGAATTTGCCGTAAGAAGCTGTTTAACAAAGTTTTTAATACTTTGTTTTATTTGGTATTTACTGTAGAAAGCTGTTTAACAAAGTTTCTAATACTTTGTTTTATTTGGTATTTACTGTAGAAAGCTGTTTAACAAAGTTTTTAATACTTTATTTGTTTTTTGGTATTTTAGGAAGCGGCTTTAGCGGACTCCTTTAATTTATTTATTGATTATTGTCTTGGATTGGTTCGAAAGCATCGAGAACTTTTTCCAGCAGCAAACCAAATGGCCCAGTACAAGCTTTCTCATCTACTCAAGTATGTGGTTTTATTATACTTCAGTCATCGAATATCCAGCTACGATAATCATTGTAAAATTGTAACCGAATTTAATATTTCTCTCCAGTTCATTTTAATTCGGTCTAAATAAACATGATATTCGTGTTACAACAGAGTATGAACCATAATATTTTATCTTCTTTGAAATAAGCCAAATGTTATTATTTTAGAAAGTTTATGATAAACTTCAAATGTTATTACTCAGTATCACCAGTGTTTTTATATCTGTGTGTCAAAAGGTTAACACTGGTAAAAAATATGCACTGTGTGCAGCTAGATATTGTCAGCAACCAGTACTGAAAACATACTTCTGTGTGTAACTAAGTATTGTCAGTAACCAGTACTGAGAACATACTTCTGTGTGTAACTAGGTATCGTCAGTAACCAGTACTGAAAACATAGTTCTGTGTGTGACTAAGTATTGTCAGTAACCAATACTGAGAACATACTTCTGTGTGTAACTAAGTATTGTCAGTAACCAGTATTGAGAACATAGTTCTGTGTGTAACTAGGTATTGTCAGTAACCAGTACTGAAAACATACTTCTGTGTGCAACTAGGTATTGTCGTTAACCAGTACTGAAAACATAGTTCTGTGTGTAACTAAATATTGTCAGTAACTAGTACTGAGATCATAGTACTGTGTGTAACTAGGTATTGTCAGTAACCAGTACTGAAAACATAGTTCTGTGTGTGACTAAGTATTGTCAGTAACCAATACTGAGAACATAGTTCTGTGTGTAACTAGGTATTATCAGTAACCAGTACTGAGAACATACTTCTGTGTGTAACTAAGTATTGTCAGTAACCAGTACTGAGATCATAGTACTGTGTGTAACTAGGTATTGTCAGTAACCAGTACTGAGAACATACTTCTGTGTGTAACTAAGTATTGTCAGTAACCAGTACTGAAAACATGGTTTTGTGTGCAACTAGGTATTGTCAGTAACTAGTACTGAAAACATAGTTCTGTGTGTAACTAAGTATTGTCAGTAACCAGTACTGAGAACATAGTTCTGTGTGCAACTAGGTATTGTCAGTAACTAGTACTGAAAACATAGTTATGTGTGTAACTAGGTATTGTCAGTAAGCAGAACTGGTAAACAGTATTAAGAACATAATTCTATGTGTAACTAGGTATTGCCAGTAATAAGTAATGAGAACATAGTTCTGCGTGTAACTAGGTATTGTCAGTAAGCAGAACTGGTAAACAGTATTAAGAACATAATTCTATGTGTAACTAGATATTGTCAGTAATAAGTAATGAGAACATAGTTCTGCGTGTAACTAGGTATTGTCAGTAACAAGTACTGAGAACATAGTTCTGCGTGTAACTAGGTATTGTCAGTAACAAGTACTGAGAACATAGTTCTGC